CGCACGCCTCCAAAGATGATTCAATCATACATATATAACACCTACATTATTATTTGCTTCATACAAGCAGCCTCCTTTCTCGATTCTTTCACAACCAGGGTAGGTGGCAACTCTTTTTTGCATAATGCTGATGAATCTTATCACTGTGTTTGAGTTCATACCAGTTTGACACACAGAACAGCTATGGAAATCACGAGGTTTCACCAGTTGATGATTCTTTCTTGCCATATGCAAACCACTCGTGTTGCTCTGGTGGGTGGAAACCACACCGCTTCCAGGTTTTGCACCCGCTAAAAACCCTTTTCCTCCGTCGTTATTCGATTCAATTTTCTCTTTTAAGAGTTTGTGATTTGATTACTGAATCTTTTCTCATCTGGGTTTCGGTTATCACCCAAATCTTTAATCGATTTTCGATCTTTTTTTCTGATCAATCATGAATTTGGTTCGTGGGTATCGTGCCAATGGCAATCAAAAGATCAGACAGATAAAGGGTCGTCCCACATTCGGATTGAATCCGGATTCTGTTTTGGTAATCAAATTACCAGATTCGCGAATCTTGGGTATAATCTCCAAGTCTTTGTTTTTGGCAATATTCATTCTTGCATTGCCTTCAATTGGGTCGTTTGTTAGAGATGCTTCCTTAACAAACACCTTAGCTCAAGAACACTCTGCTAATCCTCACGATTTTCTGCCCATTGTGTTCAAAGATTTAGTGGTCGAAGGTGTTTTGAAAGATGGCCGCAAGGGTCTCCTTCTAAGTTCAAAAATTGGAGACCTTTTCGACAGTTTTTGGTTCTTGAACGAGAAGGGAATCGATCTTGTTATCGATTCAGATTTGGATCGACAGATGGTGATTCCTGATGAGATTTTCGATTTCGTGTTTGCTTCGAGTTTAGAGAACACCAAGTTCATCAACAGGGTTGTGAAACTTGATGGCATTGTGGTTATGCCATTGGGGAAGTTTTACGATCGATCTTATGGGTTCTTGAAACAATCGAATTACAAGATTGTGTATCTTCGTCAGTTTGATTCGATTACTGTCATAGCTATGAGGAAAATAGATGGTGAAGGAGATGAAGAGAGTGTGTTTGGTGGATGAATTATTGTTCTTGGAATGTAATAATGAAAGAAAAAATAATCTGAAATAATGAAGGTGTTGGTGTTCATCAATGGAGAATTTTTTCAAGATTGAGTTGATCATGTTATAAGTTGTTTGTGGCCTGTGGGATGCGATGGGGGTGGGGTTCCCAAATTTGTTTGCTTGCATATGTTTAATGCATCTTTGTAATGTATATATGATGTAATAACTGCGTGTGTCCGAACTTGTTTTTGTGCACATCGATTAATTCCATGATACCCTGAAGTTAAAACGGTCAGAAAAATCCCAGAGTATTTGAATTGGTGACCACTGGGATTTACTTGTTAGGGAGACTTTATATACGTATACCATTTTCGGTTCATTAGTACAATTTCATATAGCACGTAGGAATGATGGAAAAGACGTTATAGTTAAAAAGGACACATAAAAAGTGAAACGACGACAAGCTTCCATCACGTGTCGGTGTCATCTTGATCTTGATTGATGCTTGAGCAACGTGCAAGAAGCTTTATTGTAACGTGAATATTGCCCTAAGGATTGGTGGTGGTGGCCGAAGGAGGAGGGAGGGTTCAGGAATTGGTGGATTGAACGGTTATTGGCACTAACGGAGATTTTTGGGATAAATTATTTTCTTTGTGCGTCGGTAAAAAAACTCTGAATACTAGATATGACCTCAAAATAACAGGGGTCAAGGTCGGCAAGCCACACCTGCAAGAAAGGCGGGAGGCTCTGAAAGGAGTGGCGGAAGGTGTTGGTAGCGAAGGGTTAGGGAGTTGTGGGAGTGGCAAGGTCGGTATGCCATGGAAGGTCGGGGGAAGCAAGCGACGGGGGTGCCACCGCCATGGCACCAGCGATGTTTGAGAAGGAGAAAGCAATGAGGTGAAGCAAGATGTAGATCTTGAAAAGAGCCATGTTTTGAGGTTGGATGGCAAGAGTTACCAAGTCCACACTTGTATAGAAAAGGGTCGTTTTATAGAAAGAACAAACGTTGTTGTATCGAAACTTGTAAATCATGGTTATTAACTTTAGTACGATAATCGAGAGAAACTGTGATTCATCACAAACCCTAAACCCTAAACCCCATTTCTATTGTAGTAACATATTCATTTCTTTAATGGAAGTTAGAAATACAGAGGATATTAGGAACAAATTGGGTCAATCGGACACCAATTGTTCGACATTCGAGTGTTAGTCGAACTTTTTCATCACATAATTAAGCAAATAATTAAGTTACAAAAATCTCAAAATTAATCAGGCACACGTTTACGAGGGAGGAGGGAGTATCCCGCCAAGGAACGATGAGAATAAGGTTAATGCACGCTGTGGCTGGTAGCTTGGGACCGTATGGCCTGCACCTCTAACAGTTATCAGAAGCAGTCCTTTGTATGCCTCCAAATACCCTCCAACCTGTTAACATGATTTCATGTTAATTAGTAACCGAACAGGTTTTAATTTAGAAACGTGCGTAGTTTTGGCGATTAGAGATTGATTTTTCACATTGCATAAAACTTTTCTTGGTTTAGAACAATAATGTGAATGAAGAAAGTTTAGTGATCACCTCCTTGTTGAGGTACCATGGCCGCCAAGCAGTCTCGATTGGGAGATTGAGGGCGTTGATTGAGTACCTAGAAGAAGTAATTGGAACCCGACCATCTGTATCCCCACTGCACGATCAAGAAACAACCGATCATAAATCGGTTTTGTTTTGAATTACAATGTATGGAACTTATCTAGAGTGGTCCGAAGTGTTAGAATACTTTTGAGGGATAATCTTATGTTGTTCGTATGTATACTTAATACCAAGAATGAGAACTCCTTTTTAAGGAAGGCGGTTTTCGGGTGGTTACGAATCATTGTCTTGTAAATCTCAACTACACCAAATAGTCCGATGCAAATAGCAACATGAAGTCTGTGATGCTTCTTTTTCACATTTCTGAAATGTAATTCGAGTGTTAATAAGAAGTGCTTGCCTGAATACCCATAGTCGTTGGCCGTTAGCAATCAGATACTTGATTATGTGGAGGATAGTATCCGGACTGTCATTCCAACGCGTGAGAACATCGCTGCACAGGTTATTATCAACACTAATCAAAACGAAGTTCATATTAATTAGTCTACGAGACTCTTCTAGAGGTACCTGCATACATCCCATGATGTAGGTTTCACATGAAATGCATTTTGCACAGCAGAGTCATTGAGATAAGATAGAAGGATATATTGCCAGCATGGATCGAAAACGTCAATCTGAAAGATAACAAATGAAAGATGATGATTTCGAGACACTAGTTCCATTATAGGTGATGGAATGTGTATATGTAGAAGTCTTACAGAACCAGTTCCAGAGGCGTTTCTTTGATCCGGGTTTAAGCAAATCGGGGCATAGAGGTTGTAGATATCGATATTTCCCTTCTCATCAAACGCTTTGCTCATACTTTCGTCGCAAATGCCCGTTGAAGAATCGTTCACAAAGTTGCAGTATTTGAAGATGGCATCATGAGTCTCATCTGAATTTATAGCATGAGTCCACCAATAATCAAACATACCTTTCAAACTTGTTACATCGTCAATCCATGCATTTCCAATCTGCAGATTTTAAGATCAATTGCCATGTGTTAATAGAATAAACATGGGACAACTAGTTGTGAATCTGGTCCGAGACGGACTATTTTTCGTGTTTTTTCTAGAAAGTGTTGATTAGTGAAGTGAACATACAGCAATCCCTTTGATATTGATGGTGGTCTGGTTTGTTCTCTTGTTGTTAAGAAGGATGGTATAAGCAAGTTGAGGCACATAATGTCCGGCGTAGCTTTCTCCGGTGATGTAAAAGTCGCGGGTTTTGTACTGAGGGAATCTCTCGAGCCAGTTAACTAAAAAAATGTAAGCATCATCTGCAGTGTTCTTGTCTCCAGCATGGTCATAATCAGAAGTCGTATTCGAATATGAGAAGCCAACTCCAGCCGGGGACTCCAGAAACAGCATATTTGCAACTGCACATCGCGTTTTTCTTGGGTTTATACTATGATCAGTGTCTAATATATCAGCTAGAGAGTAAAAAGGTTTGATTTAGCAACTAACCGTTGCTCCATGCATAGTTATTTCTGAAGAGAGTTTTGCCATCACTATTGATTCTGAACGGTCCTAGTTCTGTCATGGCTCCGATCATGGAAGAACATCCTGGTCCTGTTATACGACAACGATTTAGTCTGGAGCCAGCAAAATACAACTCTCTCGGCCGTTTCCAGTTAAGTTGTAAGGCTTCATGTGGCCAAATATAACATGATAAATATACAGTAACATGAAAATTAAACGTACCTCCATTTAGCCACAGAACCAATGGTTTGGTTGATGAATCGGTGGGAGACTCAACAAAGTAATAGAAAAGGGCCCTGCCTGCACTTGGATTGACAGTGACATATCCCGAATACTGATCAAAATCAACGCCTGCAGGTTGGCCTGGCAATGTCGAGATCTTGTCGAGCTGTGCCAAACCCTCTTGAGCTCCTACATAAACTGGAGAGTACTCATCAATGGCATCTTCTAAAACCGACCATGTATCACCAACAGGTTGGTTTCTAGATTTTTTTGCTTTTAGCAACTCGAAAAGCTTGTTTGCCTGAATATCAGCATTGCTTAAAACAAACAAGCTGGCCAAAAAGCAAAATGCTGCTATAACTTTCGTCATCCTGGTTAGTACTTTCTAGTTTTGTTAAAGTGGTTCTATATATGGTAGAAAAGACGTGAAGTCCAAGAGACCGTTTCTCTCGATGTCGTGATCAAAGATTTAAAAACAGGCTTTTGCGTAGTCTTAAAATATCTAACGAAGCCGGCCAATTTCGTAAGCATCTTCGCGGAGTTGACCCGTTAAATCTTCACTGAAATGATGCTTTGGATGCTTTTATGCTTGTCATATGTGAAACACAGTTGTGTTAATCTTTCCCGATGTGGCAGTTCTTGTTATCTGTTGGTGAAAAATATTGAGCAACTCCATCTTCAATTGATAGTTTCTAAAAATAGAAAGTAGGTTCGTGCTTTCAACTTGAATCTTGAGAAGTTCCATTTTTGGCATCAAAAGATCGTTCATTTTCCAAAAAAAGTAACAAAGCAGTTTGAGCATGCAGTTACCTAGTCCTAGAAGACGATCTCAAGCCATAAGGTGGTTAATCGGTGAGCTTTCGTATATACGATTTAATTTAAAAGAAGGGTAAATTAGACGAAAATGGATCGTAAACCACATTAAATACTTTAGGGTTGGGATCAAATAAGGTGACGAAGGTCCGCGATGTTGTGAACCATAAGGTTCACATTTTACTTACGGAAATTTCAAGGGCATTTCCATCGTTCTGAAATCAGTCCAGATCACCTCGAAACTAGAATCCATCAAGTCTGGATGGATAGTCCAGAGATCTGATTCTATAGTCTAGAGTTTCAGACTTGGTCAATTTCAGCGGTAACTTCAGAACAATGATCCGAAGAACCAGGACCACCGCCAGGGGGCTCTGCCCCTTGGAACCTCGCCAGCTGACCCTATAACCCCACAAGGGGGCGTGACCTTGACACCCGCCTTATGGCGATCTAAGGTAATAGGGGCAACATTTGTAAGTGTGCACTCTCCACCTCCTTACTCACTTATGTTTGCCTTATCACTTTAATCGATCTCAAATAAAGCACAATTACACCAAAATGGTTGATGACACTAAAAGAGTTTCACCAAACATATTTTTACACCATAATATAGTAAAACACTGAAAATGACTTAAAAGGTATATAGAACCAGGCAGCACTACTATTGCAGAAGTTCAATAAGAGAGGCAGATTCATAATTCATGGTATCTCCGATGCGATAGGGAAGTCATTGGGCAGATCGATCAGGGAACTCCTGGATTGGCAAATCAGATACTTCTGGCACTTTCAGCGACGGCAAATGGGGCAGGTCAAGCTTAGGGATCTGCGGCAAGTCGGGCAGTTCTGGTTTGGGAAGCTCAGGCAGTTCAGGCTTCAGAATTTCAGCTAGATCATGGAGTTCAGGTTTAGGAAGATGTAGCAAGTTTGTCTCTAGAAGGTCTGTTGCCTCTGCTACAATGATGGTGCTCCTCATTGATGTCAAGGTGATGATCAACAATGGTAGAACAAATGAAGAAGGGTATTCATGTGGCAGCATTGCTGTAATATAAATGAAGGTGATTTAGCTAGCTAGCTACTTCTTGTTATATCTAGATAGACATTGATTTATATGAACTAGATTGGACAAAAAAGGAAAGATTTGTTGATCAGTTGGTGGGAAAAGCTGAGGCTTGTTAGTTCAACCTCTCATCTATACAAGTTAAGTGGATCAAGAAATCGATCTTGTTTACACTTAGAAGCCGTTTACTAAACGCTTAATTACCATGTAAGTGCTTACCGGTCACTTTACCTTATCGGATGAAAATGATAGGGATTGACATTCTTACCTGGTAAGAGCAATGATAAAAGACCAAAAATCTTACCCGGTAAGATATAACACTTTCACTTAACTTACCATGTAAGATTTTAATCTATTAAAACAACATTATATGCAACATTTGATGGGTAAACGGCCTTAGACTTTAATTTGTCGTCCCTATAGATCGAAAAGATGGAAGAATGAAGGCAAACAGGACATATTTAGGGGAACATATACAAAGAGCAAGATGTAAACCATCGGTTTCTAATATCAGCTTAGATTTGGGCAAGTATTTTTACAGAAAAAAGAACAATTCTTATACTTCAAATATGTTATGTAGAGAGAAAAGAAAAGGGAGGAGCGAGAAGAGAGATAGAGAGATGAGAGAGAGAGAGAGAGAGAGAGGAGAGATAGCATTTGTAAATTAGATTAGGTTTTATTTTTTAGCTAAATGTTTGTGGTCTAAATTGAATCTTACGGATCTTATTAATTAAGTTTTTAATATATATATATACACATAGGGTTGAGTTCACGTGAGACCAAAATTTTTTCGTGAGACCCGTAAGACCAATTTATGTTCATTGATCAACTTTATAAGCTAATGATCTAATATTTTAAAGTTGCATGGTGGCAATTTTATGATTATTGAGAAGTCTCGTGGCAATTTTGTTATTATGAATGTTCAGATTGTAGATCTAATCAAAGGGTTGAGAATTGGTCTTACGGGTCTCACGAAAAACCCTTGGTCTCACATGATCCCAAGTCCACACACATACACACACACACACACACACACATATATATATATATATATATATATATATATATATAGTTCAAGATTATTTTGAGAAATGGTAAATATTTGAGAAGTAGAGAAGTGATCCTAGCGTTTCATACGGTTAAGATCGGATTTGACTAGTTAATAACTGCGGATTTGACCTGTCAAAAATTATGGTTATACAAAAAATAGAGAGTAGTTTCGTAACTTTTACAAATAGACGACAAATGGGTTCATATATGAATCTTGTGATTCACATATGAACCCATGTGATTCATATATGAACTAATTAACTGATTCATATATGAAACAATTAAATAGTTCACATGTGAACTAATTAACGGGATCACATATGAACATGTAGTTCATATGTATATCACATGGATTTATAGAACCGTTTGTCGTATATTTTGTTAAAGTTAAGAAACTATCCCTCTCTCTTCTACATACCCATGCGAGAAATTATCCGGTGCTTCAAGGTCAAAGCTGCAAATATTGACCAGATGAATGGCTAGACACTACAAAAATGAAGAGTATCAGCGAGCCATGCTAAAGGCCTCTTCCGTCGCAGATTCACCGCTGATCGTCCGTCGGTCAAAAGCTCGTAGGTAATGCTATAAGTGACGGATCAGTGAGAGAAACTTTCAGCAATGGATCAACGAGAGAAACTTTCAACGACAGATCAGTGAGGGAAACTTTCAGTGACAAATCAACGAGGGAAACTTTCAACGACTGATCAGCGAGGGAAACTTTCAGCAATGGATCAACGGGGAATTTTTCAACGATAGATCAGGGAGGGAAACTTTCAACGATAGATCAGCGAGGAATTTTTCAGCGACGAATCAACGATGGAAACTTTCAGCGATAGATTAGCGAGAGACTTTTAGCAACGGATTTTCCCTCGCTAGTTAATTTTTATTAATTTAAAGATAAATAATTTACATAGATCATATTAATTTAAAAATAAATACTTTAAATAGATCATATAGATCATAATCTATACATTCACATATACACATACATTTAAACATATATACATCATCTGATACATGTATCATCAACAATATCTACATAGATCCAATCGTGGTTAGCAACCAACACACATATATACACATCGTGTATACATATGTATATAACACATATATTATACATATGACACCTACACATAAATATGTGTATATAACATATAAAAAATGACAAAAATAAGAAAAATAGGATAATTCACCGCTTATCGGCGAGGGATTGGTCAAAAACAATTCCCTTGCTGATCAACGATCAGTTCCCTCGCTGTTCAACGAATGATCTGCGAGAGAATTATCTTATGGCCAATCCCTTGCTGATCAGGGAGGGATCACTGAGAGATTGGCCAAAAACCAGTTCCCTCACTGATACTTTATTTTTTAGTAGTGAGGATCACTTCTGTACTTCTCAAATGAACCTTTTCCTATATGTATGATATAGTATTGTCATTTGAGAACTCCAAATTTTTTGAAAACCGTAATAGCTTTTATCTTAAAGTATTGTTACACATGATCACAACTTAAAAACAAGGTTTTTTTCGACAGTCAAATCCACTGGAAATCTGTTGGAAAACTCTATTTCTGGCGACATTCCAGGTGGATTTGAAATTTTCCAGCAGGTCTTGCCGCTAGAAATCCGTTGGAATTTTTTTTAACATTTTGGGTTTTTCTCGAGTTAATTAAAAAAATGTTTTTTTTTAATTTTTTTCCTGAAAAAGTGTTTTAAAGAAAACAAAAAAACGTTTTTTTTAACAACTTCTAGTAGATTTCCGTCGAATTTTAATTAATTATTTAATTAATTCAAATCCGTCAATGGCGGTTTACCATCGTCCCAACAACAATGGATGCTGTCAACGTCAACTGCTGTCATTTCTCATAACAGGGCGTTCATCCTCAATTTAAATGTACGTATATACAGTTAAGATTTCTCTAGGATTATAGGTCACAATTTCCACCTTATTTGCTACTATGAATTAAGGTTATCATCGAATAAATTTCGTGATATCCAGACAGATTTGGGTTGAAATATTGGTTAAAAAAAAGCGAGCTCTGAGCCCCATCTCAATTTTGATCCAAGTGTTTTATCATTGTTTCTCCAACGTACATTACGTGTTTTAATTTCAATCTTGATGTTGAAATATGTGATATGAAACAACAAGCCATGAAGTGAAACTGATGAGGAGTTGAGGCATTGATGACCTTGAATAAAAATGGTCAGCTGATTTGCCATTAACGTTGCTTCATGTTGTGAAGATCAAGTACCTTCTACGTGCCCGTGACCGTTGGGTAGAAACGTCATATTGCTTTTCTCTTGTCTTTCATGCCCATAAATGAAGATGAAGCCAAAATCCCATTTTAGCATCTAGATCAAATTTAGATTTCTCTTTATCACCTAGTGCAAATACGTCGTTGATTTCCCCATTATGAACCACGAACGTGAGAGTAAAAGCCTAGTTTGAGTGGAAGTTATTCTTGAGAGATCAATCACAATTTTTTATTGAGGTCTTTTCAGTAGATTTCGTTTTTTCATCTTCTAAACTCGATTTGAATCTATCAACTGAACTTCAATTGGTAAATACTCGAAATAGGACCATGATTGACTTCGTAATTTGTCCGAACACTGTTTTCCAAGATCATTGAATATTCTTTTTAAGTGAGTCATCGACTTTTTGAACCATTGTAGTTGACATTTTGTTTTGTTGTAGTAGCTATCGTTCTTGTGAAAAATGTGAAAACGCACTCATTTCTTCAATGGAAGTTAGAAATACATAGGAGATTATAGGAACAAATTTGGGTCAAGCTAGCAGACACCAATTGTTCAACATTCAATTGTCAGACAAACCTGTTTATCGGATAATTAAGCAAACTCTGGGAATCTCTAAATCGGAGACACTTTTACGAGGGAGGAGGGAGTGTCCCTCCAAGGAACGACGAGAATAAGGCAAATGCACGCTGTGGCTGGTAGCTTGGGACCTCATGGCCTGCACCCCTAACAGTTATCAGAAGCAGTCCTTTGTATGCCTCCAAATACCCTCCAACCTGTTAACATGATCTCATGTTAGTAGTCAAACAAGTTTTCATTTAGTGATGGTTTTTGACATTGCAAAGTACTTTCTTTTTTGGTTTAGAATACTATGAATGAAGAAAGTTTTGTGATCACCTCCTTGTTGAGGTACCATGGCCGCCAAGCAGTCTCGATTGGGAGATTGAGGGTGTTGATTGAGTACCTAGAAGAAGTAATTGGAACCTGGGCATCTGTATCCCCACTGCAAAATCAAGAAACATAGATTGTGAATTCGTTGTTTTAGGAACTTATGTAGATACCTGAAGTGTCTGTGAAGCCCATTTCACATAGCTTAAAATGCTTGCCTGAATACCCATAGTCGTTGGCCGTTTGCAATCAGATACTTGATTATGGGCAGGACGGTATCGGCACTATCATTCCAACGTGTGATAACATCACTGTACATGTTATGATCAACAGTTTTTAGCCGGCCAGTTATTAGCTAATTCAAATGAGGTTCATATTAGTCTACAGGACTGATCTAGAGGTACCTGCATACATCCCATGATGTAGGTTTCGCATGAAATGCCTTTTGCACAATAGAGTCATTGAGATAGGATATGAGGATATTTTGCCAGCATGGATCAAAAATGTTAATCTGAAAGATAAAACATGTTGATTTCGAGATTCTATTTATATCTTAGGTGATGAAATGTGTATAGAAGACTTACAGAACCAGTTCCAGAGGTATTTCTTTGATCAGGGTTCAAGCAAATCGGGGCATAGATGTTGTATATATCGATATCTCCCATCTCATCAAACGCTTTGTTGGCAGTATCTTCACACATGCCAGTTAAGTTCGCAAAGTTGCAGTATTTCATGACGGCATTGTGAGTCGCATCTGAATTTAGAGCATGAGTCCACCAATGATCAAACATACCTTTCAAACCTGTTTCATCATCGATCCACGCATTTCCTATCTGTAGATTTTCCACCAAGATTAATTTTCATGTGATAATAAAATAAACAATACTAGACAGTTGTGAATCTGGTCCAAGAATAGGGCAATTTTCTCATGTTCACAAGTGTAGATTAATGAAGTGAACGTACAGCAATCCCTTTGATATTGATGATGGTCTGGTTTGTGTTCTTGTTGTTAAGAAGGATAGTATAAGCAAGTTGAGGCACATAATGTCCAGAGTAGCTTTCTCCAGTAATGTAAAAATCACGAGTTTTGTACTGAGGGAATCTCTCGAGCCAGTTAATAAGAAAAATGTAAGCATCATCGGCAGTGTTCTTGTCTCCAGCATTGTCATAATCAGAAGTCGTATTCGAATATGAGAAGCCCACTCCGGCTGGGGACTCTAGAAACAACATATTTGCAACTGCACATTGTGTTTATGATCAGTGTCTGATACACTAGATGGTAAAAGACGTTTGATTTATTATCTAACCGTTGCTCCATGCATAGTCATTTCTGAAGAGAGTTTTTCCATCACTATTGATTCTGAACGGTCCTAGTTCTGACATGGCTCCGATCATGGAAGAGCATCCTGGTCCTGTTAAATGATAAGAACTGAATGTATTTAACAAATATACTGAATCAAAATTGAAAAATATCCTTTCTTGATTCAATTTTGCAGTTATTTCTAGCTTGGATCCAGCAAGAAACAACTCCTCATCCGTTTCCAGTTAAGCTGTAAAGGTTTTCTACTTGGGAACAACAAGATAATTAGATGCTAAGATGCATAAGTACCTCCATTTAACCATAAAACCAATGGTTTTGTTGAAGAATCAGTGGGAGACTCAACAAAGTAATAGAAAAGAGCCCTGCCTGCGCTTGGATTGACAGTGACATATCCCGAATACTGATCAAAATCAACGCCTGCAGGTTGTCCTGGCAATGTCAAGATCTTGTCGGGCTGTGCCAAACCCTCTTGAGCTCCAATATAAACAGGAGAGTACTCATCAGTAGCATCATTTAAAACTGACCATGTATTACGAACAGGTTGGTTTCTAGATCTTTTTGTTTTTAGCAACTCGAAAAGCTTATTTGCCTGAATATCGGCATTGCTTAAACCAAAGAAGGACAAAAAGAAAATTGCTGCTATAACTTTAATCATCCTAATTGTTACTTTCTGTTTTTGTTGAAGTGCTTCTATATATAGTAGACGAGACGTTAAATTCAAGAGACTCTTTATCTCATCCTGATCAAAGATTTGGAAACAGGCCTTTACCATAGTCTTAAAATATCTAACAAGCCGGCCACTTTCGTAAGCATCTTCCTGGAGTTGACTCGTTCATATTCATTAAAATGATGCTTTGGATACCTTTATGCTTGTAATATGCGGGGAATTGTTTGGTTCTAATCACATGAAACATGGTTGTGTTAGTTTTTCCTGATGTCGGAGTAGTTTTTGCAAAGTATTCAACAATTACAACTTTAATCTATAATTTCTATTAGAAGAAAGTTGGTTCATGCTTCAACTTGAATCTTGAGAAGTTCCAATTTTGGAATCAAAAGATTATTCATTTTCTAAAGAAGAAACAAAGCTGTCTTTGATGTAGTTACCGAGTTCTCAAAGACAATCTCAAGCCATAAGGTAGTTAATCAGTGAGCTTTCGCACTATACAAAGTAAAAAAAGGGGAAACATTAGATGAAAATGGATCATAAAACCACATAAAATACTTTAGGGTTGGTATCATGTGAGAACAATTTTTTTGTTTGGCGAGGACGGTGAGACCATTAGAACCTTCATCTCAAGGACGAACCCAATTTTTTTTTCAAACGGTGGCACCATATAATTAATATAATATATAGGGCTGTAAACGAACAGAACGAACACGAATGGAGGCTTGTTCATGTTCATCCGTTTAACTTAACCGAACAAACGAACGAACACGAATGATAAACGAACGAAAATCATTGTGTTTGTGTTCGTTCGTTTAGAAACATGGTGTGTTTGTGTTCGTTTATGTTCGTTCGTTAACATGCTAAACGAACGTAAATGAACGAACATAAACGGACGAGCTAAAAGAACATAAACGAACGAGCTAAACGAACATACATAAATATTATTTGAATTCAAATTAAATATACAAAAGATTATATATTAAATTTAGTATATAAACGAATATAAACGAACGGTAAATGAACGAATGTTCACGAACATAAATGAACGAATGTGACTCTTGTTCATGTTCGTTCGTTTAACTAAACGAACAAATTTTTTTGTGCATGTCCGTTCATTTATTAAATAAACGAACTTCCTGCCGAACGGTTCACGAACGGTTCACTAAACGTTCTGAGTATAGCTATGCCGGTTAAACCATACCTTCATCAAATGCTATGTCTTTTTATTTATTTTCGAAATCCACTCATGAGTTTACTTCGTACTAAATCTTAGTGTTTGCCCGAGGTCGGTCAAAATGCTAAGTATGTGGATATTTTGATAGTCAAGCATTCACACACATATTCTTATCACATCCCCATTTTTATGTCATTTTATCCCTCAAATATGTGTACTTGAGTCCCTTATCAAAGTAAACTACGATTTTCGTCCATGTGGTTTATTGTTTATAACTATTCTCGTCGCTGGTCTTTAAAATTGCTTTTTTCGTCCCCGTGGTTTACAATTCCTTTCCTTTTTCATCCCTCGGACTAATTTTGTTTAAAACATTTTGTTAAGTGAGGGGCAGTTTCGTCATTTGCATTATATTAACAATTAAAATTGAAGTTAAAATTTAAATGATTTTATATTATATATGGAATAATTCATATTATATGTAACCATTCTCATTGAAACCTCAATCCCCTTTCCTTCCATGCTCCCCTTTCTCAGTCATAATCTTACTGCCCCCACCTTTTTCATTTTCTTCGTGTCGATGACTACATGAGCACCATTCATCCTCCCAACGGAAAACACATACATCCCAATAGATGCTGCCGAGCACCACTACTTCGACTGGTTTTGTCGCGAGGTATGCATGTGCATCTTATTTGATCTTTATTGGAGATCTCCACTTCTTTTCTTTCCTGGAGCACCATTAAGAGTTCTAGTTTTAGGTCTTTGCCTTCCTCCATCAAATCATCGATGGGTTCGTTTTGGGCTTAGGTTTAGCTTTGGGTTTGATTTTAGGTTTAGGTTTTACTTTCGGTTTGATTCAGGAAAATTACAGAAAAAAATGAGTACTATGTAGAAGTATGATAATCCCTGCCTTTTCTCATTCACAATAATCAATATATAATGATACAAAGAGATCTCCTATTTTTGGAGATAATTGATGCAATAAACACTAATTACAATACTATAAATACATGCATAATTAGAGGCGTCTAATACACCCCCGCAGTCGAAGCGGGAGGCGAACGTATGCTTAGACTGGATCGAAAATCATCGAAGAGAACCCGAGGAAGACCCTTGGTGAAGATGTCGGCAATCTGAAAGCGGGAAGGCATGTGAAGGATACGAACTAGGCCTTTTTGAACGTGCTCCCTGACGAAGTGAATGTCGAGCTCGATGTGCTTGGTTCGTTGATGCTGGACTGGGTTGCCCGATAAGTAAATGGCACTGACATTGTCACAGTAGACTAAGGAAGCTTTAGTCAATGGACGATTTAGCTCAAGAAGAAGATTTCGCAGCCAACATATTTCTACAACCACGTTGGCAACTCCACGGTATTCGGCCTCTGCGCTAGAACGGGAAATGGTGGATTGTCTCTTAGAGGACCATGAGATCAGGTTGTCGCCGAGATAAACACAGTACCCGGATGTAGAGCGATGAGTATCAGGGCAACCTGCCCAATCAGCATCTGTGTAGGCACGAATAGAGAGTGCTGAAGAAGAGCGAAGATGAAGACCATAGTCAACAGTGCCTTGTAAGTACCTGATGATACACTTAAGAGCGTTCCAGTGAGCCATGCAAGGAGAGTGCATGTGCATACATATTAGCTGAACGGCGTATGCTATGTCGGGTCTTGTGAAGGTGAGGTACTGTAATGCACCTGCAAGACTTCTATAGGTGGTAGGGTCAACAAATAATGAATCCGGTTCACTGGCCAATTTACTCTGAGTGTCTACCGGGGTCGCTGCAGGTTTGCATGAGTCCATACCTGCGCGATGAATAATRTCTTTGGCATATGCATGYTGTGACAGAAAAAGCRTGTCACCYGTTCTAGTGACCGAGATGCCCAAAAAATAGGATAAGGGTCCCAAATCCTTCATAGCAAATTCACCTGCAAGAATAGTCAAGAGCCGTTGCCGGAGTTGGTCAGAGGAGGTGGTGAGTATGATGTCGTCCACATAAATTAGAAGGTAGGCGACATCATGACCGTGGTGATAAAGAAATAAGGAATTATCCATTTTGCACTGAGTGAATCCATGCTGAAGGACAAAATCAGTAAACCGTTGATACCAGGCCCTGGGTGCCTGTTTAAGGCCGTAAAGAGACTTCTTGAGGCGGCAAACATGATCAGGGTAGTCCCGATGGCGAAACCTCATTGGTTGGTGCATGTAAACGGTTTCCTGCAAGTGGCCGTGTAAAAATGCATTGCTAACATCTAATTGGTGTATGGGCCATGATTTAGAGAGAGCCAGAGTGAGAACCGTCCGTATAGTGGTTGGTTTTACCACCGGACTGAATGTGTCACCACAGTCAACCCCAACCTGTTGACTACTGTTGATCCTCTCTCTCAGTGATTTGATGATAATCCCTTTTTCCTTTCGATGTATTTCTGTATCTGTAATTTCAGTTCCAGC